TAAAATTAGTCATTATTAAATGATTAGAAAGATATGAAATCAATAGCTGGTAACATTACTTTATTCAAGGCATAAATCATCAAGAACTACATTCATTAAGAAATCTGTATCATAACCACTTAATTTTTGGAATTTGACTGCACGGTTTGCGCAACTGGCTGCCGCGCATCGTGAGCACGGTGTGATGCACAGAGGTCTTAGTACGAGATTCTTTTTCGTTTAAAGTAATCGAAACGAGACGGCGTCCGGCGCTCTGATTGGTTGGTTCATTGAAGCCGGCCAATCACAACACAGAACGCGTACGCGTTACGATTATTTTACGAATTAGAAACGCGTTCTAAGGCCTCTGATTATTGTTCCGGGTCTGGCTATCTTGTGTATGTGTACTTGTATGTTTGTAAACGCACTCAAGACACCTAGGAGAAAATCCTAGTGTGGGGCAACGTAAAAAAATAGAATGGAATTATTGTAAAGAATTATTTAGAAATCAGTATTATTTTATTGGGGAAAAAGCTTTACAATACACTTTATGTAAAGATTATTTTTGATTATTTGTCATTCAATGTAAGGTTTAAACCTAAACTAGTAAATTGACAATGTATTTTTTAAATGGTTGTCCTCCAACCTTCGCAAATTATGTTTAGATGTTATTACACTTGCCTCGTAAAAAGGACAGGTTACTAATTATAAAAATGTTTATACCAGTAAATATAAATCAAGAAATTAGCTATTGGTTCCGTTTCTCTACTCCTATTACTGTAATTCTGTTTTGCTTCTTGAAGAATACTTTTATTTATATCTTTATAATAAACACAACGTCATCAACAGCCTATAAATGCCTACTCCTGAGCAAAGCCTCTTCTCACGAGGAAAAGGTGTGAGCATTAAGTAACCTCTGGTATATCGGAGCGTAAATCTACGCGACACAATGCGTTTTCTATTGTGCCTCACGTAGCGACCAGACAAGAAGTTAATCACCACACATAGTTAATACACGCTTGCTTAAGACGGGTTACTGATTTCATACTTATAATTAGAAATTATAAGCCCCAGACCCAATAGGTCTGATGGCATACGGAGCCGCAAAGGAATTAACGGGTTGCCGGGGCTCCGTCTCGAAGGGCAGGAGTAGGAACGGGGTGGTTTTTAGTCAGCAAGAGTTTGACATTGATGACTTCTCCCGCCTCACCTAGGCGGGAGAAGTCATTGGATGATTTTCCCCCCTTAAAAAAAGCCCAGGTTACCTCGCGATATTTTCCGTAACATAACGCCGAAACACAACGGAAGTACCCTTTACAAATAATATCTCGTCTTCACCTAAGTTCCCTATAAGCGCCTTTTCTTAAATAGACTATATTTTAAAACAAGTTGTGTCTTACATTCTATATTTCAAGAAAATCTCTAAGTTCCATCTGTGTAGGTACCTACGTTCTAAGATCCTTACTTATTTCTTTACTTTCCTGGCCATAGGTAGTATACTTACTGTACCAATACTAATATATGAATGGGAAAGTGTGTGTGTCAGTTTCGATGACGAACGACGAATAAACGTGTTTAAGTGAAGGTAGTTGAAGTGTTTGAGAGTGACTTATCACACATAGGCAACTTTTTGTCCCCTTAAACTTAAACCACAACTTACCTAAAATGGGGGATGGTAGTTTGTATGGAGCATTCCGCAATTTTCAAGGTAGACCGCTAAAAATTGGTATGCAGACTATTTGTAAAACAAAAATCGTCCATCTTTTTCTTTGTTAAAACTTTACGACGAGTGCGACCGCGCGGTAGTAGCTAGCTCAACAAAATACTTACATTCATCGAGGACAGTGTTCCGTACCTGGAATGGAATTTATTTCCAGACATTTCCAAGAAGCAAATATAAGCTCTGTAAGCGTCGTCTTCCCAGTAACAATATTCTTATAAATATTTTCTGCAATACTGGTTTATTTCTATGCTGTATTGCGTTTTAGTTTGTGTTTATTTCTTTCTTTTATGAAAATAGATACTTACAAAAAATGTTTAGCTAAATATATTTTTCTAAGTTGTTTATTTTGTATTTCGTATTATGTGTAATTGTGGGGTACCCATGCTTGGACACAAATGGGCCGGCTGAACTGGAGTGACACCACGGCCTCACGAACAACTGACGTGAAATAACACTTGTACTATGTTTCGGCTCAAATCCCTAACCCACAGAAGGCCGAACCGTCTACTCGTTTGTTGACCTTAAAAAAAAGTATAAATCTATCGTATACTTATATAGGAAGGTGGCGAAATAAGGGCTGAGTTAGATGACAAAGTGTATTAATCTACTAGTTCTGCAAGCGTACTTGGTTAGTTTACAAACAAAGCGAAAGCTAATAAAGGTATTTTTCGTAAGGAAAGGTATTCAGTTCGAAAGCTCTTTGTTTTTCTTTGTCTTCATAAGAGACAAAGATATGCAAAGGGAAACGCAACTCCCTCCCCAATGACAAATAAAGGAATCGTCGCGTCGTCGGCTAGTCTTCATATTTCATTAAATTAATCAGACTCGTACCGTAGTGAGTTTTCGTTTTAATAAGCCGATTTATGCCTTGTGAATTGAATTCTTACTGTATAGGCAAAAGTAATTAGGTAGGTAGTTTTAATTTTACGTCTTACACTATTATTTCACAACAATTTCTTCTTGGTTGATAAGTCATGTTTGCGGGATGTTGCCTTAGTGTCGAATATTTTCACTTAGTTTAAATCCGCCTACCAATGTGTTGGGGCTATGGTTATAATCTTAAATCCTCTCAAATGTTCAGCACGCTCATAGTACAGCGGTGAACCGTCACAGGCTGTTGGGGATGATGGAACTAATATTTAAGTATAATATATCCAATTATTAGTATTCTTTTTTAAAAGGCCGGCAACGCATCTGTGCCTCCTCAGGTGTTGCGGGCGTCTATGGGTGGCGCTGATCGCTTACCATCAGGTGATCCGTCTGCTCGTTTGCCTCCTATTCCATAATAAAAATATTACAGTGTATTTGAAGCAAATTTTCGATATCCAGGATCTCACAAATAACCTAACCCGTAATTTGAACCCAAAATCTTTCAAGATCTCACTTGAGCCACAATCTCTGAGATCGTTGAACCATTGATTAATATATCGGTTCAGGCAATCGCGAGAAAATCGCGGACAACAGTCAAACTGAATACCTGTTTCTTTTTTAAAGTCTTTAAGACGAGAAGAAGAAGATACAAAGTTTCGTGGCTATTTTAAACATATAATTAGTTAGGTAATTGCTTGTTCTATAACTTTTCACGTCAATGAAGGGACCGTTTGATGACGTCATTTCTGTTTATAACCTTCATGTAAAAATTAGGGTTAAATAATGACAAAAGGAACTTATAAATAAGTTAAAATTACTCTATTAATATATTGTGCGGTTACCGCGTTATATGACAACCGACTTGACTTTAATTTTGTTATAGGCGAAAAAAAATAAATTCACTCACCCATTACTTAATCTGGTAGGTAAATAATTATCTACAACCAAAGGCACTTTAGGTTAAGTTAGGTAAGGTTATGGTTACGATCGACATGCGCGCGCCTTGAGAAACCTTTGCATATCCCTGACCTAACTGTAATAATTATAGGTAAACAGCGGTTTTGGTATTGTATTAGTTACTTACCGGCTTCACTGATCGTATCGATGAATATATAACATAACATCACCTCTTTGATTCCCCAAGTGGTAGGCAGTGGTGTACATTATGCTACTGTACAAAGTAACACCCACTTTTTACTATTCATGTTATGAGTCCCATGTAATAGGAGGCGAGCCTATTGCCATATACCGGGCACAACTCCAAACTCCGTGCTGCTACGAAATTTTTTTTTACCCAATAATACTTTGCCCGATCCGGGAATCGAACCCGAGACCCCTTACCGCTGCAGTCCCCTTGCGATCACTCGGCCAACGAGGC